CATGTTCTTGTTTCAGATTCCTCTGGGGATATTCTTCACCTTCTTTTCAGTGATCATCAGGCACTCGGCAAACTCCAAGTAGGTGACATCTTTTCCAGGCTCAAAATATGAACTCGACTGGTGTAGTGTTACCTGCATATGTATTTCTTATTTTAGTTCAAAGAAGTTCATCTTGGTAAAATTTATTGTCAGCGATTGTTTTCTCTGTTCTCATCACCTTTCAGCCCAGTAAGGTATTGTTGTGACTTGATTGGATTCTGACCACTCTTTGGAATTTTAAGGCTGACTTACAAAGTCTTATCAAAATAACAACAACTGCCACCTGGTTAGCTCAGTTGGCAGAGTGCCAGTCTGTTGTGCAGGAGGTCAAGGGTTCAAGCCTCAGACCAGGCCAAAACTCAGGGGCTTAAAATAACTGAGGAGAATGTGCTACCTTTGTAATTTCATCTGCAAATGGTTAGATGTTCAAGTCTTCTCGGATAAGGACAATAAACTGTAGGCCCTGTCTCCTGGATCTTCAGTGTTACATGGTTAACCCTAAAGAACCCACACACTTATCGAAAAGAGTAGGGCACGTAATTCCCAGTGTTGTGGTCTGGCCTTATCTCATGGGTTGATGCTTTACATAGGGTAAACCTCATTGCACCTTTCGCCCTTGGGCAGAATTGTCCAAGAAAAATTTCTATGACTATGACTATGACTATTTAATTTACTCAAATGTCAATTTATAACGATAACATGCTAAGTTAAACCTTAATTCGATGATGAACTGTTTCAGGAAATTCCTTCAGATCTGACTTCATTCCTGAGGGTTTGCTTAACAATTGATGTTGCTAAGAGGTAAATATAGTTCAACGATCTACAACAATTTAAATTTCCATTGGGAGGAATAAACAATTTAAAAAGTATGTTATGGCAGGGCTACACAAAAGCAGTCATCTGAATGGTTACACAGTAGAATTTTGGCAACCAAATTACTAGTTAGTACTATATGTAGTAAAATAAACAGTACTGAAGATTTATAAACTTCTTCCTATTGTTTTTGAGATGCTAGCCTACTTATAGTCCACAGAACACTACAGAACAACTAAAGACATGATTGATCATTGCAGTTATGTACACAGCTTAAGCAGTTGTGAAATTAAAGCCTGAAAAAAATTCAGGCCTGAATGGGATTCGAACTCATGAGCTCTTCAAGACTGGTGCAGTGCTCTACCAACTGAGCTATCAAGCCATCTGTTCATAAGATAACCGTAGATGGAGCAACTTCTATGACTTGACATTATTTTAGACTTAGTTGTCTTTGTCCCTTGTGAGGCATAGAACTTCCTCCATAGCTCTCCTCAAGACTCAGTTGTTAGCAACCCACTTATTGTGACTTATTATAATAATTGTGCATGGAAGTTGCTTCTTGTGGTATCACTTGAGTTGATAAGTTAGTAATCTAGCAAATGCTTTTTTTCTTAGGCCCTCTCCAGCTGAGTTATTACATCATCAACTATTCTCCAGCTATGACAAGGGAAAGGTAATATTAACAGGAGAACAGTAGAGCATGCAAAACAGCATCCAAGGTGCGTTCATCAACTCCTATGAAGGCATCAGACAAATTTACCCCTTACATGAGCAAAACAAGTAATTAATTGTTTTGCTAGATTGAAACCTTGACTGTTACTTTCAACTTTTCGTGCTCTTTGTCAGATTCAGAGGTGCTCATAGAAGAAGGGGAAGGACAAATTGTTTGAAAAAGCCTGGCCACTCAGCTCATTCTTGATTCACTAAGGGAGGGGGGCCATGGATACCCCTAAACCCTCCCTTGGACCCACTACTGGTGCAATACATTTACCCTTTCATTTGGTTTTTGATATACTGTAAAATCCCACGATTAAAGCCCTGGGCTTAAATAACTTCATAAGGGGTTTTCGGTGGGCTTATAAACGGGGAGCTTATATCCTGGGGGGCATATAAGCGGAATAAAAAAGAATGTTTTGGAATGACGAGATAAAACTCATCTCAGAAACGAATTAAAGCTAATATACCATTACATTTAGAGCTGTTACTCTATTATATTACCCTATTACCCTATAACCATATTAGCCTATAGCTTTTGCTTAAAAATTTTGATGTTTGTAAAGAAACACAAAAGCAACCCACTTATACATTAGATGGGCTTATATCCCGGGGGGTTTATATCCAGAATAATATCTTTGTTAGCAAATAGAAGGGCTTATATCTGGGGGGGAGGCTTATCACCGGGAGGCTTTAACGTGGGATTTTAACATCTTTATCACTTATGTCTTGGTGATAGTAGTCCATACTTTGTCTTATTTGTGATTGTGAAAATAGCCCTGAGAATCATGTAGTCTGTGATGTATACTAGCTGACATTTCTTCAACTTTTTTTTTTTTTTGACACTTTAATTGTAATTCACACTACTTACAAACAATGGTACGTCTACTTACACTATTTACAAAAGTAATACAATTACTAAAGTCCATTACATTACTGACAAAACGTATATACAATTTAATTACTTACGCACTACTTACACTACTTACAATTCAATGCGATTACAGGTGCTACTTACAATAATACAATTTGCATAACTAACTCTACAAAACAATACGATTACTTATTTAGCTTACGATACATGTGGGTTATTGACCAAGTGTGAGGTCAAGATGGCTGGATGTTGGCCAAGTTCTTTTTTTGCGAGTTTATGGACTGAGACGGAGTCAAGAACAAGGCCAATATCCAGCCATCTTGACTGAACAAGCTTGGTCAATAAAAGATTTATTATATGGCTTTTGGAGAAATTTTTCTTGCAGGAAACGGCGGGTAGTCCCGAGCGGGCAAGATAGCTCCATCTTGCCTGCTCGGGTAGCCAATCACAGCACAGGATTTGATTCATCTTGCAGGTCACGGAGCTAGCCATATAATAACACTTCTTACACTACTTACAAAATAATATGATTAATGAATGATGCTA